TTTCTCTTCATATTCCAATGATGTGAAACTTTGTTTATATCCTAACAAACCTCCCCTTAAACAAAGGACCATAGTTTAACCTCCTGCTCAACGAATGTGTTTTTTCATCTACAACTATTCAATGGGTGGCCCTTAGGGGATGTTTGATACATGAAAAGTTTTTACTTTCTTGAGAATTTGACATCGAGAATGTTAGCCTTTTGCATTTGGTTTATTATTTAAAAAATAACATTCTTAGGAAACATTATTTATTGGAAATATTTTTGCATGGTTTCGCACAAAATTATTCCTATGGGGAAATGAAAAACTAACTTTTCTAAGGTAAAAATAACATTTTAATATGGTAAAAATGTTAAAATGTCATGTTATTTTATTTACTTATTTAATGCAGTAAAAATCCTTGATACCCGAGTAACATTTAAAAACATTCCTAGAAATATTTATGATTAATCAAATAGAGTTTTATGATTTATAGAAATCATGATTCCCAATATTTATTATGTGAAAAAATTTGTCATATATACCAAATGTCCGATTAAAGCTTTAACCACTCGACATAATAGATCTCACACTAGATACATCGCCTATTATTACCAAATACTTGTCCAAGACTTTAAGTTGGTCACTTCATTGAAAGTATCAACTTTAATACCAACAACATCTAAATTTGACACACACGTCTCAACATTAGTATGTTGTTCACTTTAATTCTAAACTCTCATGATTTTATTTTTGGTTCTCTCAAGAAATTTCATACTAATGGAAACTATGAGTGTTTTATAAATCTTTATTTATTTTTTCATAATTCAATGATACAAGACTTTATTTATATTCCAACAACTTCAATATATAATACAATAAAAATTAATAAAAAAAATAGACTAATGTAAAATTATTTCAGTTTAATTAGTAATATTAAATTTAAATTTGGAATACATAATTATATTAAATATATATTCAAGGGAGAAAACTTTGTTGCTCTATTATAACATTTTATCCAACTTGAAAAATGGTCTCTCGTAAAAAAAAATTTGTAGAAAAAAAAATAAAGATGGAAAATTATTTACATATAAAGGATATATAGTCTGCCACACATAATTAATGAGATTTCTAGTGTTTGGACATTGGAACAACAATGATGAAACCTTTGTAAATTCTAGTGTGTTGTTTTGTTGGAGCTGACACCACAGACGAATCTTTCCTACTCCATTGACTATTGCTTTAAAAGTTCTTAGCTGAAATTACATTCAAAATAGAAAGAAGAAAGCTTTTTCCTTTCCCTTCTCGTTAGTCTCACTCAGTGCTCCTGTGCTCGACCCCTCCATTACCTTACTTTAATTATGAACTTCCTTTTGTTGAATTTCCTTTAATTTTACAAAATATTCTTCTTATTTGTTTTCTTGCAACAGGTCTCTCTCGTGACAGAAACTATTTTCCTTCACATGGTAAGGGTTTCCAAATTTAGTCATTCTTAATTTCTTTTGGATCTTTTAACTTCAATTATGTATGATTTTAGTCAAATAAACTTTTCTCAAATCAAATTAAATCTTATAACTTTTTTTTTCCTTCTAAATATTATATAAATGACGACGGAGATTAATTTAGATTCTCTCGTACATCAATTCTAATTCCTTTATTTTAATAACTTAGTTTTCTTTTATCTCATATACTAAATCTTCACATATTAAATTAATTAATTAATTAATTTACATACTTCAATCTCACATCCTATAAAATTTATGATTTTTTAAAATATTTAATTTTCTAAAATAAACCAAAATGTCACAAGTAGAATTAGAAATGTCACTTTTTAAAGTATACTTTTAAGATTTATTATTTATAATCAATTTTAAAAGTTCCGCATCTCTTTTATAATTTTATTGTACTCTCTTCTTCTCATTCTCCTTTTTTTTTTTTTTTTTTTTATTCTTATGCAATTCTTCTCTTAAAGTGTGATCATTCTCTTTCCTTTTTTTATTCTTATGCAATTCTTCTCTCAAAGTGTGATCATTCTCTTTTATTTTTATTTTTTATTCTTATGCAATTCTTCTCTTAAAGTGTGATCATATTATTCTTTATGACAAAATATCAAACACTTTACAAATATACGTATATATATATATATACGTATGTATAATTTTTAAAATAATTATTATAAAAATCAATAAATTTATTATTACTTCTTTAGGCCATAATTTTTTATCTTTTAGACTTTTTTCATTCCAAAATTTTGGATATTATACATATTTTAAGTGATATTAACTACTTTCTTTACATATATTCTTATTTGACAATTAATATTACTATTCATAATTATCAGTTCTCGTACTTAACATATTTTAATATATTAAATAAAAGTATCTTAAACTTAACATATTAATATTAAATATTTTTTTATAAAGAATATAAAAATATTTTAAACATAAAAATTATGAAGAGAAAAAAATAGTACAATATAATTGTGATTGAATTACTGTTACATTGTGGATAAATTACTATTAAACTCTAAAAATTAAAAAAGAAGATGATTTGGTCCATTCATCGAATAATTATAGAGATGAAAGTTGATCATGAATGACGTAAGACAAAGAGGTTTACACATAGAAAACACAAATATTAAATGTTTAGGAATGGAAACATTGCAAATTGCAGCACGTCTGTTGAAAGCCTTCATATTGGAATGTCACGTTGCCCTGTCATTGTAAGTAGACGACATAAGCATATTAATGTTGTGTAGAACTGAAAGACAAACCTTTGATTCTCTTCCTCTGTCGTCACAAGTCCCATTATTAGTTCTTGCCCTTTTCTTTCTTTCCAAATTTGCCCTTTTCTAGTTCTCCATAACAACCAAATTATTCATCTTCATAACTTTTTAATCTAAGCACTATCATTTCTAGTAGTAAAACTGAGATAATATATGAAGTCTTAAATTTAAATCTTTTTCTATGACGTTATTGTTAGTGTAAAAGAAACATTATGTGTTTTTTTAAAATTTTAAAAAAATAATAATAATAGAATTATCTGTTAGATGAAAAGGTTTTGAGTGGTACACAAAAAATAGAAAATTATTCTTACATATAGATATAGATAATTTTTAGGGATAATGAAAGTAAATTTTAAAATTTCAAAACAGTCATTGTTAGTTTACCAATCACTTGATATATATCTTATTACGTCTGTCAATGTGTTTGTTTTTCCACGAAACTTTTCCTACATTTTCCAAAACGAAAGGAAAGTGATGTCTGATTGGCATTACTTGGAAACAAGTATCGTAGACACTAAAATATCATGGTTAACAAAAATTTTAAAGAATGAAAATAAAATAATGAATAGAAAGTATATCCTTTCCTTAAAAGAAAATATGTGCCAGGTATTATTAATAATATACTACTTGTTTTCTCACAAAATCATAAAAAAAATAATCACATTCTAATTTATGTAAGTAAAATATTTGTTGATATTTAAATTTACTAGCATTAGGTGGTTTAAATCTTGAAATGCATTGCATTGAAATCTAAGAATGAAGACATTACAGTCAATACTGAAACTTTAGGTATATTAAATACTATATCTGTCAATTTAAACTCAGGAATATCATATATATATATAATACAGAAGAATAGAACATTATATCTTTGTTGATCTTTGTGAACACGCCGTATGCTTTATTGTCTCCTTGTGGCTATCTCATTTGCTTTGATCTCTATCTTCGTCTTCCACGAACTTTTTTATTATTACTTCTTTTCAGATTAAACTGACACATAACTTTGATTTTATTATTACAACAATGATTATAAAAATAAGACTTTATATACATTATCTAAATTTTCTACTATTAACTGGACTATAGTAGGTTTGAGTTAAAGGAGTTGGATCCCTTAAACATGTTTTAATCGTAATATTTATGTGTATGAGAAAAAACATGTTAGGAGAGATCATATCCTTATGTTCACATATATATCTTTTTTTTCTTCTATTTAGTTATATAATAATGACATTAAAATTAAATTAGAAACTTTGTATACATCTAAATCATTTATTATTAGATCAATTTTAGTGATTTTAATATTTACATATTTGAGAAATTAGATGTCTAGAAAAATAAAAATATAATAGAGAAATAATATTTTTTTATAACAAAAATGATACGAATATATTTTATGTGCTATTGCTAAAATTTACAGGAAATTAAAATTTTTTTGTTACTCTTGTCATTTAATTAATCTTGTTAATTAATTATAGTTTTCAATCAATTTTATGTTCTTAAACAAAATGAAGAAAATATTATAAAGGTGTGTTTAGAAAGTATATTTCTATAACACTCAGTGTATGAGTTTTGAAAACAAAAAAGGATAAAAAAAAAAAAATCTGCCAATGGTGATGTTTGTATTGGCTATACCCGGTTAGGGATATAATATAGTATTTTAATTCCTCAACTACTGTTGAAAAGGTTGTAATTGTCCTTCCTGTTAAACTATTTTGCATATTAAGATGTTGAGAAGGTTTAAATATATTTTTAATTTTTTAAATTTAAAATATTATTTTTAATTTTATAATTTATAAAAATTTTGTTCTAGTTTATATGTTTAAGTTTTGTTAAAAAAAATTATCAAATATTATCACATAAAATTTACCTAGTAATGATAAATATATCACATTAAATTCAACTGATATTATATAATTATTTTAGTTTATCACTTTCAAATATTTTATTAGTTACTTAAAGGATTAAAATAAATTTTTTTTAATTATAAAACTAAAAATTAATATTAAATTTAAAGAACTAAAAATAAATTAATATTGAATTTAAAGGAATAAAATCATATTTAAATATAATTAAAATATTTGTCCATACGAGTCCTTTTCTTTCCTCAAAAATAAGGATATTGTAACGTCTTTTATAAAAATAAAAAAAGTGGAGTCTAGTCAAAAGACAAAGTATAGAAGGGTGAGGAAGATAAATTTATTAATAATACAATGTAGCAGGCATGCAGGTTCATGGCTTGTTGTCCCTATGTGTATCATTATGGAACAAATCAGTGTCTAGGACAAAAGCTCTTAACTCTCCGTCCCCTTTCAATTTTTTTTTTTAAAAAAATTATAAGCACGATATCTCAAAAGTAATAATAAAAAATAATTTGTGTTCATGGAATATAACCCGCGTCAGTGAAACATTATTTTAACGCTACCTCTTTGGCTCTTTGATCAGTTTAAGTTAATTGTTGGATGTTGATTCATTTATCTTTCTTGTTCATAACTTTTTCTTTCATCGATGCATTAATTTATTGGTGTTGAAGGGACAATGATTAGGTTATTTATATGACCTATTGTAATATGTGAATCATTTGCATCTTATATCAATAAAACATTGGCAGCTCCATAGTAGTAGCAGAAGGAAAATGGGAGAAGAGCTAAAGAAGAAGCTTTTGCATCAGCGGAACAATTCTTTGGTGAGTGATGTTGGAGAAGAAGAGTCACTAGGAAAAAGGGCATGGGAAGAAAGCAAGAAGATGTGGGTGGTAGCAGGTCCTGCCATATTCACAAGGTTTTCAACGTTTGGAATCACTGTGGTTACTCAATCCTTCATTGGTCATATTGGTTCAACTGAACTAGCTGCTTATGCTCTTGTCATCACTGTCTTAGTCAGGTTTGCAAATGGTGTATTGGTAAGTGTTTCTCTACATTTAATCTCTCTCTTTCTTCACTTTCAACTTTTAAAAAACACCTTCCAACTTCAGTTTCAGTTCCAAGATCAAGGTTTCTGGAACCACAATTGTGCTCATATCAGTTATATTTGTGCGCAATTTAAAATCTTCTTTAGTTCTGTTTAGTTGACTAGTTATATCTAGCATGTGAAATATAAAAATTTTCAATTGAAAATTGTAGATTGGTATGGCAAGTGCATTGGAAACTCTTTGTGGACAAGCATATGGGGCAAAAAGATATGACATGCTTGGAGTGTATCTTCAAAGATCTTGGATAGTGTTGTTCATGACCTCAATACTTCTTCTTCCTATTTACATCTTCACCACTCCATTGTTAGAGGCTCTAGGCCAAGAAAAAAGTATTGCTCAAGTAGCAGGAAGCATTTCTCTGTGGGCAATAGGAGTGATATTTTCTTTTTCTGTGTCATTCACCTGCCAAATGTTCCTACAAGCACAGAGTAAGAACAAGATTATAGCCTACCTTGCAGCAGTTTCAATTTCAATTCACGTTTTGCTGTCATGGCTTTTAACTGTTAAGTTCAAGTTTGGGCTCAATGGAGCAATGACATCAACACTCTTGGCATATTGGATTCCAAACTTGGGCCAGCTTTTGTATATCATGAAAAAATGCCCTGACACATGGAAAGGTTTCACATTCTTGGCCTTCAAAGATCTTTGTCCTGTTATCAAGCTTTCAGTCTCTTCTGGAGCTATGTTATGGTAAGAATTTAATCATCAATTTTTAAGACTATAACTTGTGACTTGTGAGTAACCAGGTCCTTTTGCTGTTGCTAAACCAGGATCTCATCCTTAACAATATACCAATTTGTGATTTTTTTTTAACTGTCAAGAGTAAATAAGTTTTGGTTACTGCTTTTTTTAAGTGGTGTCTAATAAATCACTTATCAATTTTCTCAAAGTTTTCAAAGGACACAACTTCTGAGTTGCAGAAAAACCAAGGAAGAGTACAATTACTGTAGAGAAAAAGTATGTCCTCTTTCAATCACAAATTATCATATATAGGACAAATTTGTTAAATTTCATAATAATCACTCTAAAAATCACGTTGAAAATGATTTCTAATAGATTAAAAATATATATTTTTTGTTTCTATAATTCAGTTTTAGTAAAGAAATAGGACTAATATAAAGCTATATATGGTTCCTTTTACAGTCTTGAGATATGGTACAACACAGTTTTGATTCTTCTAACAGGCAACATGAAAAATGCGGAAGTTTCCATTGATGCTCTTGCCATTTGGTAACTACATCTCATTCTTTGTTCTTGCTTTCTTTTTTGGGACCATGCAGTACTATATCTTGTTCTTACTTTTACTTCTAAATTTCGTATTAATCTGTTTTTTTTTTTTTTTAATGAAAGCATTTTATATTTTTGCAGCCTCAACATCAATGGGTGGGAAATGATGGTGGCCCTTGGTTTCTTTGCTGCAGCAGGGTACTTCTTTTTTCACAATCTCATTTAATAGAAAATATCTGAGAAATTAAAAAAGCAATGAAGTTGTGATGTTCTTTTTAAAGATATGGAGATTGATGCAAAGCATAAACTATTTTTCCTTTACAATAAATAAAATAATATAAATCATACAATATTTTTTATTTTTCGTAACAAATAATTCTTACACATTCACCTTTTCTCTTTGTATCATTCTCACCAAGTGTCAATTAGTTTCTAACCATTCATTTTTGTATCAATATTTTCACCCCTCTTTTTCTATCTCCCGTACAACTTGTTGTAAAAAAAGTCAAGAAAAAGATGGTAGACACTAGTAACATGAAGTGAATTCGAAACATAAAATCACATTATATAAAATATATTTTTATTTTATCAATCGATATGACATTTAATATTATAATCTTATTTATTAATATTGTAAAATACTACTTAAAACATTAAAAAATACAAACATAAATAATAAAAAAATTATCACTAAGTCAAATCTTAAATTTATCAAAGGGCACAATTTATAAATTAATCATGTCACTTTCAACATTACAAATTCAACAAAATGTATTCTAATTATTACAGTCGACACCACAACAACACTAATATGAAATCAATATAGTTAACTTTCATGAATGAAAAACCTCACAACGAAACAAATAAAAAACTTGAATTTCATTTGTATACGTTGTCTCTAAATGAATGGGCATATTCCATTTAAAAAGGTATTTTGAATGGGTTACTTATCCTTTTTTTTTTTTTTTATCTTTCATTGGTAGTCCAAATATGATAACACAAAATAATAATAATAATAATAATAATAATAATTATTATTATTATTATTATTAATTAGATGGATCGATTTGATTTGGTTGTTGAAAATTAAAATTTGAAATTTGAATCGAAGTAATTGCATTTCTAACTTTTAAACGTGAACTCATTTGATAATTCAAATTGACCTAAATTTTTTTTTATTTGAATTAAATTCAATTCATTAGATCATCATATTTATAATCACCTCTATTAAATTGTAGTTAATATTTGAAAGAATAAAGTGTAATTTCTTCAAAAATAATTTCTTCCATGAAATGTCGAGGCAAAATAATTTTTTCCATGATATGTTGAGGCTTAATAATTTGCTCTATTGGTTTTAAATATAATATTATCTTTTAATATTGATTTCTAGTCATCATGTTTGAGACTTCAGTATCCCAATTACTTCAACAAAGAAATAGAGAATTAATGATTGGGTGTATTTTGATTATTTTGCAGTGTTCGGGTGGCAAATGAGCTTGGAAGAGGAAGTGCAAAGGCTGCAAAATTTTCCATTCTGATTTCAGTTATCACATCATTTTTCATTGGTTTCATACTATTCTTGGTGTTCCTATTTCTGAGGGAAAAACTTGCCTACATTTTCACAACAAACCCTCATGTGGCTGAAGCAGTCGGCGATTTATCACCTTTGCTCTCAATTTCCATCTTGTTGAACAGTGTTCAACCTGTGCTCTCAGGTATTCTATACTTATTATTATTATTATTATTATTATTACGTCTTTAACTTTTGGGTTCATGCAATGAACAAAACTGACTAGTAATGTTATATTAGTAGAATAAGCACATGCAATGCAATGCAGATGATAACGTTATTTATTTTAGAATCTTATATGAAATGGATATTTCTAATTATTTTAGGAAAATAAAAATATTTCATAATTTTTTTATTTATAATTAAGATTTACATATTCTTGTATACGATATAGGTGTTTCTGTGGGAGCTGGGTGGCAAAGCGTTGTAGCATATGTAAACATAGGATGTTATTACCTTATTGGTATTCCTGTTGGACTGATGCTTGATAAACTTCTCCATTTGCAAGTCAAGGTAATTGATTTATATCTTTTGGAATAATGTATATGTCATCGTATAAATCTTATATCACTGAATCATTTTACATTTAAAGTAATAAAGTTGATAAATCAGGGTCTGTAAGCATGACACAATAATTTCTTGTAGATGCCTTCTCGTATATATATAATAATGTCTTTGACCAAGTGTGCAAATGATGTATATGTCACTTTTGCAGGGTATTTGGATTGGAATGTTGTTTGGAACATTTGTTCAAACCGTGATGCTTATTACAATCACATTTAAAACTGATTGGGACAAACAGGTAATAATTAATCTATTTATAGTGTTGGCACTGTGCTTGTGAAATTGATTTTCCAAGTTTAAGGGAAGATGTTATTAAAATTATATGTGAATGTTACAGGTAGAGATAGCTCGAAATCGTGTTAACAAATGGGCAGTGGTGGAGAACCAAGAATCAAACAATAGATCAAGTGGATCTAGCTAAACGTTATATCTACCATTTCACATTTTATCATCTGTGTAAAACACCATCCCAATCACACTTGGGTAATGCACTATTCCCATCATTGAAATGTATGATTGACATTTTGGTTCACAAAAGAATAAAAGAATTAAAAAAAATCTTTGAAAATGTAAAATGTTATTTATTTTAGTTTAAAATTCCAAAAACAAAAGTGGCTTAAATAATAATATTAATGTATATTTAAATATTAAAATAATAATAAATAATTACTTTAAAGATTTAAACAAAATAATTAGAACTTTCAATGATTAATGTACCGAGGACATGTATTTTAAGAGATTCAACTGGTTTTTTAGTATTGGTTTATTTAAATTTAAAAATATATATTTTCTTTCCTCAAGTAACACTAATTGATCCAGCTAGCTAGTTGTTGAGACTTCGATGGTTCGTATGGCCTCTTGGATTTTTGTGTTGATGATAGTGGGAGTTAGGGATGACAAATAAACTCGTACTCGTATAGGTAATATCTGAACCTGTCCCGATTTTGACGAGGAATATCCGGTTTGATCGGGTACAAGTACGGGTACGGGTAAAACTCGATAAATTAAATCGGTTACGGGTACGGGTATGGGTATATACATACCCGTCCCGTACCCGTACCCGTACTCGTACCCGTAAAAAATTATTTTTTTTGCAAAAAAAATAATTTTTTACGGGTACGAGTACGGGTACGGGTATGGGTATATACATACCCGTCCCGTACCCGTACCCATCGGGTATGTGATTTTCACCCTCATTCCGGTCTCTATCGGGTATCGGGTATACCCGTACCCGTTCCCGTACCCGTACTCGTACCCGTAAAAAATTATTTTTTTTGCAAAAAAAATAATTTTTTACGGGTACGAGTACGGGTACGGGTACGGGTACGGGTATACCCGATACCCGATAGAGACAGGAATGAGGATGAAAATCACATACCCGATGGGTACGGGTACGGGAATGATTTTATGTCGCGGAGACGGGGACAGGTATCATAAAACCCGTACTCGACCCGCTCCGTTGTCATCCCTAGTGGGAGTTGAGGTGTTGGTTCAGAGCATTTATGTAGATGGATACCACATGTAAACATGTAAATGTACACTACAAGAAATATTACATAAGCTATAGTAACATACAAACAGTATCATTATAGGTACAATATATGTAGGTATATGTCTATTTGACATATAATTACACACAATTTTAATGTTGATTTTGAATGAAATTTAACAATATATTTTATATGTTACTATAGCCTATACCTACACTTTTTAATAATATATCAACATATATTGTAATTATTGCGTAAATAAAATTAATTTTTAGTGATATATAGTGTCACCAAGGACGGAGCCAAGGGGGGACCTACGGGTGCCACGGCCCCCCCAACAATTTTAATTTTTTTTTATATACATATATATTACTATATGGCACCCCCTATTTTTAATATAAACTCATATGTATAATTAAATGAATAACCCAAATTTATTTTTTTATTCAACTTTTGGACTTCTGGTACGGCCTGCTATGTGGTATCACTTTGGAATTTTTTTTTTTAAAAAAAATGTAGCGCCTCATTTGATCATTCCAATTCTCGGCCCCCCAGTATTGAAATCCTGGCTCCGTCCCTGAGTGTCACTATAAAGTGTGTGTCACTATATGACAATTTTTTTGTAATATTCAAGTTCTCAAATTAGTATATGAATAAACAAAATAATATGTGAAAAAATTGCATGTATATATATAGGTAGGGATGGCAATGGGACCCCATGGGGGCGGGTAATAATAAACTCGTCCCCGCCCCGCTAGATGAAAATTAGCCTCATACCCACCCCATATCCGCGCAAGTATCCATTAGGCGGGTATCCATGAATTTTTTGAATACCCACGGATATCCATGGATATTTATAAATTTTTTAAGAAATTAAAAAATTATATTACAAATAATTTTAAGTTTATATTTAATGTCATTGAAATATTAAAAAAATTCAATGTTAATTTTGAACTTGTATTTAACGTTAATTTTGTTAAAATAATAATAAAAATGCAAGATAATCAATAACTTAAAATACATCAATCTCATAAGTAAGTGAAAGTCTCATGTTACATAGCTACAATTATTCAATCTCATAATTTCAAACGAAAGTAAACAACTAAAAATACATAAATCTTATTGGCCCAATCAAAGATAGAAAATTAATCAAATTACATCCAACATAATTCTATAACATGCTTAACACATGTTGGTAACTTCATCAACCTCACTTTTGTAAGAAAATAAGATGAGAGAGTGTAGTTTTAGAGTTATGTGGTACAAGGATAATTAGGATATTTAAAAAATATTATTAAACGGGTATCCGCGGGTATGGATATCATCATACCCGCCCCTGCCCCGTTTATAAACGGGTAAAAAATTATCCGTCCCCATTATTTGCGGGTATCCAATTAGCCTATCTATTTATTATCCGTAGCGGGTTTTACCCGCAGATACCCGCGAGTGCGAGTATTTTTGCCATCCCTATATATAGGGCTAATTGACCATAGTGGGGTTCTTTTAAAAATATTTTACGCAAATGGGACTGTTTTGTAACTAATTACACCTTTGGGGCTGTTTATAACGGTGTCGCTATGGCCCATAGCGACACCCATGACACGTGGCATTTTTTTTTTGCTTAGGTTGGACTGGAATGAGCTACACCAGTGTCGCTATAAGTTGGGCCAGCACACTTGATGGACTAACAAAAGCAATGTAGCCCATAGCGACACTGTGTAAGAAAAAAATAAAAATAAAAAACGAAAACAATAGAAATATAAAATAAAAATAATAAATTGAGTTATTTATTATATATTTATAAAAATAAAATTAAGTTTTTTAAAAATGTATTTTAAAATTAAATTATGTGACTTTTTTAAAAGAGGCGCTATGGGCCATAGCGACTTGGTGTCGCTATGGGCCATAACGTCAAACATTTTGTATAATTTTTTTTTTGCAAATATTGACGTTTTATTTTTAAATTTTCATTTTTATATTTTTAATTAAAAGTACACAAATAAAATAATTTAAATAAATTTATATTATTATGTTAAATTTAAAAAAACTAGAGAAAAAATAAGTAAATAAAATAAAAACGAAAAAATTGGAAAATAGGTGTCGCGATGTATCATTTTTGTATATTATTTATTTTTTAAATATTAACATTTCATTTTAAAAACGTAATTTTTATATTTTTAATTAAAAATAAATAATTGTGTAGTTTAAAGAAAATTTATTGTTTAAGTGTATTAATAATTTTTTTATATGTAAATTTAAAAAAACTGGGCAAAAAATAAGTAATTAAAAAAAAAAATTAAAAATTAGTGTCGCTGCCCAAAGCGACACCATTTTTGTATATTATTTATTTTTTAAATATTAACATTTCATTTTAAAAACTTAATTTTTATATTTTTAATTAAATAAGTACAGAAATAATCAAATTTAATTAAATTTATATTTTCAGTATTTTGTTTAATATAATTAAATATATATTTTCAGTAATTTGTTAATAAATTTAATTAAAAATAATTGATTGTGTAGTTTAAAGAAAATTTATTGTTTAAGTGTATTAATAATTTTTTTATATGTAAATTTAAAAAAAAAACTGGGCAAAAAATAAGTAATTAAAAAAAAAGAAATTAAAAAATTAAATATTAGTGTCGTTATGGGCAGCGACACCTTCTTTGTTTTATTTTTATTTTATAACTAAATAATTACACAGAATCAAATTATAAAATCTAAAATTTAAATAAAATCATTTTTTAAATAAATTACTTAAAATGATATAGCCTATAGCGACTTCACATTAATCACACAAAAAAACAAATATTTAAATATAACTAAATAAATTGCAGAAAATAATAAAAATTAAAAAATCTAAAACACAAAATACCTCGTATGAAGATGAATATATCCCGAAAAAAACACCAACAACCTGAAACAATTAAAATATATTGTTACATACACAATTTTAAAAAAAATATATAAATTATAGAAAAATAAAAAACTAGAAAACAAAACTTACAAAAGCAAATTCGATGGGGGAGAGGAGGGGACCAACAACGAAGGTGAAAATGCTTATATATAGGGTAACTTTTTTTTTTTACTGTGCCAATGCCACGTGTCAATTGAGTTCCTAAACTCACATGCAATCAAACAACCTACATTCTAACTTCTCTCACTTGAAGATTGGCTCCGAACAACCAAGAATTTGAGAAAAATAATTTCCTCCCAAAGCTCCACTCGCGAAATTCAATCCTCCCAAAACCAGCTTTCTAGCCCAAATTTCAAGAAAAGACAGAAGAAGTTAGTGACCTAGAGAAGAAGAAGAATTAACTAGAGAAATTTGGGAGAGAAAGGAGCTCACGGACCCAGATTCCTTCTCTCTAAAACTTTTCTCAATATTTTCTTTTAGAATGAGCTTATGAGCCTCCCTTCTTAGAAAAAAAACCTTATATACTCTCCTCTCTGATGTAACAGCCCAAAATCGCTGGCCAGAGGCCCAATTGAGTGCCCGGAATGGGCCGTTTCAAAAGTGAAACGGGCCGTTCCAGAATAAGAAAAATTCCCAAAATTGGAGAAGCAGAACGGGTCGTTCTGGTTTGGAGAACGGGCCGTTCTGGTTTGGAGAACGGGCCGCTCTGGTGGGAGAACGGGCTGTTCTGCTGGTTTTGAGAACGGGTCGTTCCAGTTGAGAATTTTGCGTAGTTTCGAAGGGTCCAGAACGGCCGTTCCACTTTTGGAACGGGCCGTTCCGGTAGGTGAGCCTGAAATCCTATAAATAGCGCCCATCACCTCTCATTTTCACACATCTCTCATTCTCTCTTCTTATTCTCTACTGTTCTCTCTTCTTTTCCTCTTCTTCTCTCTGAAGACCAAGGGGCATTTAGAGGAGGAGACCAAGAGATTCCTGTTTTAGTTCAACTGTTGTTTATCCAGGTACGGGAAAAAAGAGAATTATTTATATGTAGAGTTACATGAGGGAATCGGGTAGAGGAAGAGCCCTTAAGATTATGATTAATTTTATAATTATTTATGTTTGGAGAAT